TTAATATTTATTTACACCAATTTTGTACAGGTCACAACTCTCTTAAGCATCGCTTGAAAAATATTCCGCCAAGGGGGGAATGAAAGGCACCGTCATGTCTTATCTGCAACGGTGGTCCGCAGAACCAGATAAGAAAGTGCAGGATTCACAAGAAGCACAGGAATGGAGGCCTAGAGACAAAAGCGAGGTTAATAAACCTTTCAAATCGCGATACGGGCGGTTCAGAGTAGAAGAAGAGAATAAAGTGCAATAGAGATAAATTGATAAAAACAATAGACTCCATCGAAGAGAGGGCCTAGCATAGTTTACGTAACGAATTTTAGTAACTTTGAATTGATATATGTATCTGTTGTAGCTTTCGTATTATAATTAATTTAGCTAAAAAAGAAATAAATTGTAAGAATGGTAAAGTTTTAAAGCGCTAGAATCCAAGCCTGTCAGCTGTATTGAAAACTCTTCCGCATTTGGGATCTAAGTTGTTTAGTCGTGGAGATCTCTTCCCTACTCGACCACTTTCCGCTTTATAGCGCCTCACTTGTTGGTCATAACTGAAATTGAGCGAGTGATATGTGTTTTACATACAACTGATTGTCTACGTTTTTCTGACATTTAGAATATGAACGAACAATGACCGCCTCTCTCAGAATTTTTTCTTTATACCGTTATTTATCGGTAGTGGGCATAAATAGTGAGCATATATAAAATTTGAATTGTTTGTAAAGTTTTTGTGTATAAAAATATAGAAATGCATATACATATGTGTGTTGCTTAGATAAGATTTACAGGCATAACTGCATTCAATGCCTGATGATCGTTCAGTGCTTTTAGGGAACGCAAAGGGATTAGTAAAATTTTTTCTCTATTTATTTGTTTGTTTATTTATTTATTTATTTATTTTTTTTTTGTTTAATTTAAATAACTTTGTTTAATAAAATTCTGAAAACAACTACACAACAGGCATTAGACTTTTATTTTTTATTTTCAATAAAATTTCTTTTTATTCAACAAATAATTTTTTGAAATTGTTTTTTTTTTCTTTCACAATATATATGTATATATATGTAAATGCATTAAATATCCGTTTATGTACATATATATATATATATATATATATATATACAATCAGACTGTTTGCTACAAAGATAAAAAAACAAAAAAAATAAATAAAAAAATAAAATATAAATTTTTTTTTTTTTTTTTTTTTTTTTTGTTTTAATAAATTAAAGAATTTAATTTTATTTTCTTCATTAAATTTTTTTTTTATTTATCTTTTTCATTAAGTTATACGAGTTTTTTTCCGGTTGTTCTACATATATATAGTTACCATTAAACACAGTAAGGGATTTTTCTTTTGTATTCTCTTCTTTTTTTTTTTTTAATTTACACAATTTAATAAATTATAGGTTTCCTCTCAATCTTTTAAAACAATTCTTTCTTTTTTTCTTTTATTTATTTATTAATTTTTTATTTTTTGCTTTATACTCTCTATTGTTCGTTTACTCTCTACATAATATTTAACTGCGAACATTTATAATTAAAATACATATTTACATTGTTATTCTTACATTCATCTCAATGATGCTACTCATTTATACGTATACGTATATGCGTTTAATTAGTTTAACTTAAAACTTAATTGTATGTTGAGTTTTTTTCTTCTCTTTCTTTTTTATTTTTATTTAGTTTTTTTTTTTTTTTTTTTTAAAAAAATTTTTCTCTTTTTTTTGTATATATATTTCCACCCACCACCCAGAGGTGATATTATTTTATTTATAACATCGAGATACACGCATAGGAGATTCCTCAAACTATGCGTTGTTATAAGACATATATGTGTTAGTTAGTTTGCGGGGAACATTTGCATTAAGAATTTTTGTTCTCTACAACTAAGTATTTCACTTAACTGCTCTGCGACAAATTTTTCTTTTACTAGTTTAACCCATTACAAGAACCTGAATACTTACTTGTTGGCTTCCCATGAATGTATACAAAAGCTAAGTAACTTTCTGATCAATGATAATGTTTATAGCTGTGCTGTCTCGTATAAGCAATCCCTTACGAACAGAGCAAGTCCATTGAATACTCATCATATACATCTCCATTACGGCTTTTGTAGTAGATTACTTCTTGAAAAGTCATTGTTATACCCTAACCCCATTTGCGATATAAGGATGCACTGAGGTTGTGTGGATGTTTGCAACACCCAGAAGGACTTGAGAGAGACCCACCATATCGTTAGTGAATCACTTTCTGAATCGATTCAAGCTTGTCTGTCCGTGTGTTTGCCTTGGTTTCTTTGTTCAGCCTACAGTTCGCAATTTATGAGCTATCGTGATGATTCGACAAAATCGATAGTCTTTAAAGAAATTTGTTAAATGAAAACGAAGTAAAAACACTATAGTGGGACACGGGCCGACATTAAATACCATATGCTACTCTCCGGTTATTCGCATAAAAGTCTAACAAAATAAAACGTTTTATGGGAAATGGTACGAAAATAGTCGGATCCAAGTTATTTGCAATAGTGTCCTTAAGCTAAAACATCGCAATCTATCGAATTTCATTGAAATATCTCAAAAATTGCGGCTAGTAATGAACCAGAAGGACAAACCTAAATCGATTTAGAAAGTTTTTGAAACAAACGATGTCGCTGTATCAAATTTCATGTCAAAGATTGCAACCAATAGGAACCAGGGAGCGAAAAAAAACAAAGTGAGCAGACAAGCTTAAAATGATTCGGATTCAAAACAAGTCGGTGTAACAAATTTCATCACAATACCTCAACAAGACGGTCTGAAGGGCACATAACATTAGATCGACTTAGATCCAAAGCACTTTGCTGTATCAAATTTCTTCACTTCTATAGCTAAGTTATTCTCGTAACCAAATGTCCAGGCGATCCCTTATGTACGATAATAATATGGTGGTCCCCTACTTGAATACCGCAACGACTCCTTAAGTCTTGATTTGTGAGACCGATGTTTGCAATTGCCTCATCCGATTTTTATTACCAACTATTTTGATAACGACTTTCTTGCACTATTATTGTTTGCTGCCATTAAAAGGTGTGACTTAACAGTATTATAACTGGGAATAGTAGAATAACTAAATGTCTTCTACTTTAGGATATAAGTGCTCCTAATTAGTGATTGATATACCGGTACGACCCGGTATCATTATAGATATCTCATATTTTTCTCATTACTTTATGCCTAAAGGATGTCAACTGTATTTGCAATTAAAGAATTAGCCTAAAATGCCATTTGATATGCTAAGTAGCTCTGCATCTCTGAACAGATTTGAGAAGCACAATGAATAATGAATTGCTCTAAGAGTATCATTTTTCAATTTAAGTGGACTAAATTCTTTTCATGCCTTTATGTGAATATGGCTTTTCTTTCTTAACAGATATGCTTTTAAAGAAACATTTCACTTAATTGCTTTACAAATTATTCATTACTAATCATTTCTTAAACAGCGTAGTTAGCGTAAGTGCACACTTTAGTGATTTTTTTAAATAAATGTCATTTTTACTTGAGGAAATTGTTTACGGTTACGGGTCTCCTTATCGAACAAGGTCACGTCACGAAACACGAAAGAAGACGATTGTTTTTTCACAAACCTTGCCTTTAATAGTCATACGATACGGACTAAAGTCAACTCATTGAACGTTAAAAGTTCGGACCTCTCAACCAAAAATTGGAAATTACATTCAAGCTGGCCGGAAAACCGATCCCAAGCGATGATGTATGTGGCCACACAAGTTTTCATAAATAAACACGGCCTTTAACTGCCTTATCTAAATGCACTTTTCGTAAATATGTATTTGTTTGCTGTTTCAGAATATACCGTTAATTCGTTCTTCCATAGCACAGTTCGCTTAATTGTTTTCTGGAATGATTATCCTTTGCAAAAGATCCTCTTAAGAGATTTAACCAGTTAACTGTTTATGACGTCATTTACATACGTCATGATCTTTCCATCCGTCGTTGTCGGATTTCCTCGTAAAAACTTTATCATCATGAATGTACATTTGCCATAGTCACGTTAAATTTACAACCTGATCTCTCATTAGACATACTCTGTGTTTGACAAGTGCCCAAGTATATCGCTTAAGAGCTCGACATAGTTTACTGATTAAAGAAGCCAGCCGCTATTGCGGTGGAACGGTAAAACCTGGACAAATTTATACTTTCAAATTTACTATCCAGACCGACAGACATTTTGAAATTTCGATAGCTTACATCTCATACACCAATTTGTTCAAATATTTTATACAGAAACTTTCGCATAAGAAAAAAATTAAGTTCAATTGAAAAAATTCGTTTATATAGCTAGTCTGTGTGTATGTATGTATGTTAGGGATCTCTTACACTGACTTGCTAAGTTTAGCATGTATGGGTTAGGAATACGTCGGATCGGCCTGGTAACTTAAGATCTGAAATTTGATGTATTCTTGCCTGTATACTCGTTATGACGACACGACAAAGAAAAATTTGAAAATTTTCTACTTTAAGGAACAAAAAGAAAACTAAAGTTAAGCTCCGCCTTGTTATTCCCAAAATTCCGAATAGGTCTCTCGCATCTCGCGTCTCCCGTCTAAGAAACTCGTAGCTAATACAAATTTCAATTTCAATTTTTTTTTTTTTTTTTTTTTTTTTTGGTTCCTAGGTGATGAGGTGTTTGTGTGTTTTTGGCCCTAAGGCATAAATAGTTTTTCTTACTAGATTTCTTACACTTACTCTTATAGTAAATTTTTAATATGTAATCTATTTTATCTAAATTGTTGCTATAATTTACACTCGTCGTACACATAAAAATTAATAATAAAAAGAAAAAATTAAATTAAAAATGAAAATGATAAAAATAAATTGTTTAATATCACATTGAATTTGAAAAAGTTGGTACTCAGTTTTGAGTTCTTTATTCTTTTCTTCCCTATCATCGTGTTTTTTTTTTTTTTTTTTTTTTTTCCCTATATCTTTTTTTTTTTTTTTTTTTTTTTTTGTCACCATATCACTTAGTGTTTTGCTTCCGCTTCTTTGCATCTTCACTCATTATTTACGTTGTCATTTTACGCTTAAGCGCGTATTCTCTGCAATTGCGTGTCGTGTTCTTTGTCTTTTTTCGGTTTTTACTTTTGTTATTGTTGTTCTTGCTTTAATTTTATTTTACTCTATATACAAATGGCGCTTTTTTTTTTAAATTACGTTACCATAAATATGGCGTCCTTAATGGCTGGCTGGCTGACTGGCTGGTTGGCTGACTGTCTGTTTGGTTGGTTGGTTACTTGCGTTGCTTTTCGCGTTGAGGTTGATTTGCGCAAAAACAAAACAAAACACTCATCGCACACCAAGCATACGTGTACGTGTGCGTTTCCCCTTTCCTTTTCTCTGTCATTTGTTGTCTTTTGTCGAAAGCTATTGCGATCTTACACTAAAAATGCCTGACTATTGTTTTTATTCGCAGTTGTTGTTGTTGCGTTTGCCGTAGCCGCTGTGCCACTGCATGACGACGCCGATTGTGAACCCTCGTTGGTGGTTGTTGAACTTACACCTGATATTGTGGCAGCAGCTGCCGATGTAGAGGCTTGTGGTTGGGGAGTTTGCGCTGTAGCGGCAGTTGATTGTGTGCTGGTGCTAGCCTGACTTAAATTACTGCCTGTACGCAAATGTACCGGGGCTGTTGCTTGCTGATTGGTCGCGGTATTACTTATACTGGGACGCCACTGTTGTTGACCGCCAACCACTGACAGCCGCGGATTGTTGCTATGGCGAAACGCGTTACTTGGTGCCGCTAAATGATGTTGTTGATGATGATGATGAAAACTAGCTGCACTACTACCATTCGGTATCATAGATAAAGCTTCCTGTTGTTCGTAAGCACTATACTCGGACTCTATGCTGTGATAGATATGTTCACTAGGCGGCCTCATGGGTATGGCATCGACTAAACGCTGTCCGTGACGGCTGGGGCGTGGTGACGGTGTAGCCGTAGTAGCTGACGAATAATTAGCATCCATATCTTCTTGATAGTAGGCCGGTGGGGGCGGTGCTTGCCGAAATAGTACCCCAGGCGATACTGGCTGTTTAAAACGCTCATGATGATCTAGGGTATAATTGTTACCGCGTGGCGACAATTCAATGGGTATGGCATACCTTAATTTCTCCCAAAAATAACGATCGCACGTTAATAGACGATTAGAAGGCACTGATTTTAAATAAGGGGCCAGTTCAGCGACGTCTTCTGCTTCGGTAGAAACATTGGTTTCTTCAATAATAACTAATTTCTGAGCCAAACCTCTTAGTGCCTCGTGAAAAGCATTACGAAACTCTAAACGATTCCATTCAGTAGCCAACAAATTACGAGTCAATACTAATATGATCTTACGTGAGGCTCGTGCTGCCTCCACAATTTGTAAATGACTTGCTTGTGGCGGTAAATCTCTTTGTTGTATACATAAGCGAAATGGAGGTCGCCCATGTTCTAATTCTGTAGCAATATTGCGGCAAACGAATTCATAATCCTTTTCTGAATGTAAAATGATGGCATCGTATAATTTTCCAGCGTCTTCAAATCTCGGTTCGCATACTCGTACCCCGTAATGGGCAAATAACCACATGCGAACGGACTCGCGGAAGACAAATACCACTATAAGCACGACAATAAGGAAAATTAGAACGAGAACTGCTGCCAGTAAAGGGACATAACCGCCGGATATATCCTGCGAAGCCATATTGCTGGCATTTTCCAGCAACTCATTGCAGTCAACACCATTTTGGGTAAATAAATCCAACTCCCGCTTCACTCCATTGTCCACACAATAGATATCCTGAGCATCGCGTATGATAATGGCGTTATCAGTCACGAATGGAGCTAAAGCTTGTAAAAATTGACAGCGGCAAGACCATGCATTACGTCCTATAGTTAGTCCTTGCAGGTTATTGCGATACTGCAGGTTGGATAATTGAGTTATGGGCATTGATGTTAAACGATTATTATCTAGACGCAACACTTTTAACGATACCAATGGCGCGAAGGTCGCATTCGAAATTTGCGTTAGGAGATTATTGTGCAAATACAATTCACGCAACAGCGACAATTGTCGAAACTCATAGCCTTCTAACGTCTGCACTTTATTATTTTCCAGATGTAATACGCGTAACATATTGAGCTCGACAAAAGTTCCGTTCGAAATGGCAACGATATTCGATGAATTCAGATAGAGTGCCCGTAAGATGCGCTTGCCAGCAAACACTTGATTATCGAGGGCTGGCAAATTGTTGCCATCCAAATAAAGATCCGTAACGTCGTGCGGTATACGTTGCGGCAAACTAATACGATTTTGTTTTCCACAATCCACAATATTCGTAGACCATGTCGCGTCATGAAAACAAGTGCAATTGTCCGGACAAACCATTTCGCAATCGCATTCCTCAAAATCGCAGCAATGACAAGTAGCCGGACAATGCGATTCGTACTTGCACACAAAGTCACTGCTGCTTAAAGCAGACAATTGCCGTATGGGTGAGTTGCGACTGTGTGGCATTAAACATTCAATATTGGCTAAGTCGACAATGCGAGGATGCTGGCGGGTGGTCATGTTATTAATGCGTTGCAACCATTCCATTGAACAATCGCATTCAAAGGGATTACCACCTAAATAGAACTCAGGCACCGGTTTATCAGCAGTAACAGGAGCCACCCGCAAGGAATTTAAAGTCAACTTTGACAAAACGTTCGCATATAAATCGACACGAGTCAATTTACTTTTATCGACAAATGTGTTAGACTGCACCTGACTTATGATATTGTTATTGATGAATAGTAATTCAATAGAATTTGGCACAGACATAGCACCAATTTCGGTTATACGATTATGACTGGCATCTAAAGTCGTTACACGTATCTCCTCTTGCAGTTTATAGTAATTACCTAATGCTTCGATGTAGTTACCGTGGATGTCCAACCATTTAAGATTTGACGGTATAAAGGCATAGTCGAACCACACTAAATGATTCTCTGACAGATTTAACCATAGCAACGAAGCCAGGGTAGCAAAAATTCCATTAATATCTGTCAAAAAATTCTTATCCAATCGTATGGCTTCGATTTCCGTATTCTTGTCAAAGGCGCCGCGTTCAATGGCCTGTATGCGGTTTTTAGCTAAGTTCAGAACACTCAAACGTGGCAAATCAGTAAACATGCCAATGGTAATATTACCAATGCGATTATCTATTAAACGCAAGCCAGTTAGCTGATTTAAATTTTTAAACGTTCCATTTCGGAAATCGGAAATTTGATTTTCTCCTAAATCTAAAGTTTTCAGCATGCTAAGATCTTGTATAGCTTCCGGTACCTCGGCCAATTGATTGGAACTCAAGTCAAGCTCTTTTAAATCTGAGCAGTTTCGAAAGGCTTGCGTTTCTACTATGCTAACGAGATTATTATTTAACGTGAGTTTTGTTAGCACGTAAAGCCCGTTAAATATCTTATTATCCAATGTATGTAAACGATTTTCGGCCAAATTCAATGTATGCAGATTATACAAAGGCAAGAAAGCACCATCCTCTATATGGCCAATAGAATTGTTGCGCATATCCAAGATTTGCAGAAAATACAATTCCTTGAATGTCTTCGAACCAATGCGTGTCAAAGCGTTATTAGCCAAATTAAGCACTATTAAACGTATTAAGCCAGCAAATGTATTATTGTCAACATGATGAGACGTTAATTGATTGCCGCTTAAATCCAAAACCAACAATTGTTCCAAACGATGAAACAAACCTTTCGGTAAATCATACAACTCGTTGCCTTGTAAATGAATTTCCCTTAATTCTTTATTGCCAGCAAAAGCTTCGGATGGTAAAGTTTCCAAATGATTATAGGATAAGTTAAGAACGCGCAATGAACTTAAACCAGCCAAAGCATTGGCTGCTAAAGTGGTAATGTTATTATGCTGAAGGCTTAATTGTTGCAAACGTCGTAGCCGTGAGCCTCCCCAGACATCAGGTAAAGCCCTCAATTCATTATATGATACATCGAGAATTTGTAATTCTGCTCCACCACTGGCCCCATTTAGGGTGCAAAGTTTCTCCGAAAACCCTAAACTATCGGCCGCTCGTATACGATTCATAGTTAAATTTAAAATTTGCAAATTTTGCATTGCACACCAAACGCCTTCCGGTAGTTGACGTATATTATTATCACCCAAATGCAGTTCGTTTAGTTCGCGTAAACCGTAAAATGATTGAGGTAATATTTCCAACGTCTTACCGGGACCCCAAATAGCATTATAAGTTTGTACCGTTAGGCTTTTCAAAGACATAAGACCTTCAAAGGCGTTCGCGTTAATACGTTGCATTTTGCACGAGTCCAAATGCAATTCGGAAAGTTTTTGTAAACGCGCGAAAGCATTCGAAGGCAATTCACTTGCGTGTAAAACATCACTAGAGCAAGCGATTTGTAAACGTGTAGCCGTTTCGGCGACTTGCAAATCCAAAGGAGCCGTTGGATCAATTGCACGCAAATTACATTTAATATCCATTGTCGTGCGTACGAATTCCCATGAGCATTGCGAACAAGCACTACCCAAAACACTTAATAAAAACAATACGTTTGCGTAGAATTGCATTTTCAAAGAATTTGAACGAGAAGGCGGTGGTTTAAAGGATTGATTCAATCTTTCTTTTTTTAATAAAGTTTCACGGACTATAAAAGCCCTTCTAGTTTAATTTAATTAATATTGCTTTAAGGCTTCTGTCGTTTTTCTATTATTTCCTTTCTTAAAGAATCATATTAATATTTTTATTATTATTATTTTTTTTTTTTTTTAGTTATTTAATAGAACACATCATTAACACTTACTTATTGTCACTTGATTTATTCAAAATAGGAAAATCGCTTTTTTTGTTTTTCTTTTGCTAAGTATTAACCGTAAACCCGTAATCCAAGTAGAGGCGGTACGTAAACGATTTTAGCGATTTTCATTGAGTAATAATAATTTCTTTTCCATTAATACATTTTTAATTCGTGTAATTTGTTGCGGTTAAGCGCGATCGAATTGCATTCGTATTTCCACTTCTGATCGGTAATTATTTTGTAATTGGAATTTTTTTTCTCTTAGTATTATCGTTTAGCAACGGAAGAGCTACTTTACTAAAACATGTTTACCGCTTAACGTTTCAACTCAAACTGATTATGAATTTGTTTCGTGCCAACTCCATTGCCTCACTGAAAATATAGTTCTGTTACTTCTTGGATTCTCAACATAATGCATGTATACAAACAACATAGATACACACATATACACACACATACCTTACTCAATCGTGCTTGAATGCTCGCTCCCATTTATACTAGCCCAGCATTACTATAGCAAATAATGGTAAAAGCTGTTTATACAGCGTACGCATACATAGGCAAATTAATGCACTCTCCGATTTCTTACTAAAGTAAGTTTGCTTTTTTTTGTTGTTTTACCAACAACTCGACTTCTGTGATGACGATGGCAAAGTAACAAACACTATGGATTCACATATACAGTGTACATGTACGAATCCATGTGAGTTTGTTTAACACTAACACATCTATTAAGTTCCTTACTCTCAATTCCAATGCTTAAATTAGTGTATATATGCATGCATATATATGTGCGTGCGTGTTAAATGCGAGTAGGGGAAATGTAGCATTAAAATTGCATGGCATGCAACAAATGTTTGTGCACATATTCACATGCACAGTCAGAGTCGATTACAAAAATATAAAAGGAAAAACAATGCAAAAGCAAACATATGTGTCACTATGTTACAGTTACACTTACTTACTGCACTCTCTCGCACTCTCTTTCTCTCTCTCTCTCGTTTTGTGCAGTATAATGTATTTATTGTTGATGGCAAACGTAATAATGAAGTTTTATATCGAAGAGAAAGCCGGTTGTTAAAGGTTAGTGCTATACATATGCACTCACTGTTTTCTTCTCATTCTCATTACTTTAAAATTTTTAATCTCTCTCTCTCTCTCTCTCTATCTGTCTCTTCATGTGTCTTATTCTCCTAATTCTGTTGTAGAGAAAAAAAAAGTACTAAAATAAATGTCGACATTGGAGCGAAGGAATAAAATAACAACTGAAACTGCGTGCAATTGTTAACATGTACGTTCATCACGGGCAACAGGCTATAAATGAAAGTATAAACAGAATAACTAGCAATAAACAATGTTTTTACTATTACGCTTGGTCACTCTCTCATATTATGAGAGAATGAGAGAGTTGCTTAAAAACTTTGAAATGAGAGATCAAATGAGAGACATCGGTCTTTAGCTTTTTTTGTTGTTCTTTGTATATTTATTTTTTTTTATTATTTTTGCTTAACATTGAAGTAATTACAGTAGTTAGTTGGCATTTATCTAGTAGTTGGGCTGTGTATGGGCGACAAGCGATTGTCCTGTATTTATATTATATAAATGTGTGTAGATGAATATGCATTTGTGTGTACGGTTTTTAATCATGAATTTGCGACGCGTGCATACAATGTTAGTTCGTATGTAAATGAGCTGTAGTGTTAATTGTTGTAAAGAAGTTAATGTTCTGCAATTTACTGTGTTGTTATGCGTTTTTTATGGTTTCTGCAGAATATATGGTTTAACAAAATTGTTGTTTTTATTAATTTTTATTTTAGTTTATTGCTTTTTTTTCCTTTTCCTTTAATTCATTTGCTGACTGCTGCTATCATCGAATTTATAATGAATGACTAAAATGAATAAAAAATTCTTTAATCAAATGGAAAAATTATTAATTTATGAGAAAATTTATTAAAAACAAAAAAAAAATCGATGCGGCTTTTTGTAACACAAGTTAATCCTTGATGATCATCCAATCACGTTCAATGCCCTTTAATATAAGAATTCAAAGATATTCGATCATTTTTATCAAAACGGGAAATTTTCTTTATCATTTTCAATATTTACAGCTTGAAATTCTTATGGTCCGAGTGTATTCATACACATAAATGCATGCATGTATGCTCTACCTTACCATTTTTCAACTTTTCAAGTTTTCTCCAGTTTTTTATATATTATATAAATTCTTAGCAATTGAAGGAGTATATAAACAAAGTTGTTCAACCGCTGCTCTTTTAACTAGATTTTAATTAACACATCTAAAAAGGTCATGTCGCTAACCCATAAAGCGTTTTAGGCTGGTGCAGTTTTAGCGTCTGGAAGGTGACTGTTTGTATAAATAAAAATTAAAAAGAAAATTCAAACATCTTCAAAGGAACTTCATCTTGAAAAATTGCGCCAAAATTCTCAAAGAATATTCTGTATTCTTCGATCAAGGTGATACTGCTTTGCCAGTTCGTAGAAAAAAAATTTCTTTCACCAAGCAGTTTGCTCGTTTTCTCTTTCGAAAATTCAATTTTAAGGACTCATTTTGCTAAGCCAAACTTTGAGGAAATCGACGAAACTTAAAAAAATTAGAAAAGGCCATCGAAGGTTTCTTCTTATTATACCGTTACGAAAGTGACTTGATATGTGGGTAGTTATCTGTGTCGAAGTTTGTATTTTTGAAACGAAACTGCGCCACTTTTGCAGGATTGACCTTAAGTGAGATAAAGATAACACTGCGTTTTTGTTTTTATTTTTGAGACCACCAATCATTAAGGGAAGCCTCCTACAGGTTAACACTACGTGGCGTTGGTCAGAAAGAAGTGTGGAAAGGGAAATAGGGCAGTCCTATGCCTAACGGATGTGAACTCAGTCAATAATTATTATACTTTTTTTATCGAACCTGCGAACATTGACTTGGTAGTCGCCACACTTTTCTATGCATCTGTGCGAAACTCTTGAGAGCTCATGAGGGACTTGCCAGAGAAATGTTCGTCAAATGCCATTAGATTAACTCGGCTCTCTTCCCTCATTAAATAATGCGAATGAAAAGTAAATTTAACGTAAATTCTTCACAATTAGTTAAACAAAAAAGTATCGTCTTTCATCTCATTAATCTCGGATTGTACAGATTTTTAAAGACTTGTGAAAAATTTCAAATAATTCGGCTGAAAAGTGTTCACTTGTTCGTCGTATGGCCCGTACTTTGCCTCATTCAGCTGTCATTTGCTTTGCCCCTTACAAAGCTCTCGTAACGACGTAAAAATCCATTTCAACCAAAGCCTTTGAAAGTCGCCAGGGAATTCCAGAAGTTCTGCTTTGGGGGGCATAATGGTTTATTAGACTAATGAAAGATTATCGCTCAGAATGACAAATATTAAAACTCAATCTGCAAGGAAAGAAAAAAGTTTTGTGAATTTGACTGCAAGCATACAGTCAAACTTTTTCCTCCATATATATGCGCTCTGAACAAAAGGTATCCCGAAGCTTCTCTTCCGGGCTTTAAGTTCATGACCCATAATTACCGCAGCGTGCTTCATACATTGTTGCTAATTTTTCGCAACTCCTTCAAGCATTTCTTAATACATCTTCAACGAACCAAAAAAGCCCTTTGCCCAAAGGGGTAACAATATTGTAAATTAAAAAAGTAATTCGTTTTTTGGCTTAAAGGACGCTTTGAATTTTCTAGAATACTGGAGAAAATAAAAGTTTTTATTTAAAATGTCAAGCTTTGCGACAAGCTTGGCGGAAAGACTTCATGAGTGAAATAAATCTTGCTAAGAATTTGGAATCTAATTTTATTCTTATGGATTTCTAATCCCTTTAAAATAGTGCAGACAACTTTAGGAAATATGTGACTTCACCTAGAAGTAGTGTAGGTTGATCAACACGACAATTGAGTAGGTAAGAAGGTTCGTCGTGCTTTATAAATGAAACAGCACGCAAATGGTGCATTTCGAGTTCCTCTGCAATTGCAAGATTGGTTAGATGTGGGTTTCTTACATGGATCCCAAAATGTCACTCACCGCTATTAATGATTTCTCTTGAGACTGTGGCAAACCTTTTGTGGCAGATCACACAATATTCACAACTTCTTCGCATTAGATTTTACGAGCGAGGAATGCAGTGCTTCCTTTTTAAAACTCTTACTAGATGCAATGTCTTTTTAACCACTTTTTATCCGCTCTATCCACTGCATTTTGTCAACTCTACATTTCGCAACTAACTGATGAACGCTGTTGAAAGCAGTCCTCTTGTATATCCCGAGAAGTAACTACAAAACAAGTCTCCATGCGATAGAATAAACCTGCTGTCTTCTATCTGGCAACATAGTATGCCTGCAGGTAGGAAAATATGGGAGAACTTTCCTGTCAACCTGTTACAATTATATGTATGGCTGATAACATCGACCAATTTTTTTTTTGTATTGTACTAACTATTCGGTCAGCTCAAATAAAAATTATCAAAAATACGTTTTCCTTACGCTAGCAATGTTACGTCTTAAGATCAGGTGAGAAGGACGGGTGTTTGTTCCCCGTGGTTGAATTAAAACACTTGCAAATTGAAGGACAAAATAGGGTTTTGTTAGGAACCGGAGATTTTTTATTTGACGCCCACCGTACCAATCAGAATATCATAAATGGACTTGAAAAGGTGTTTAACTGTTTAGCCGATTTTTGAAGGCGCATGTAGCGATCTTCGAGCAATACCTGTTTTCTCTATTCGCTCGATGGTTTTGCTATTTGCAGCAATTAGAATTTTGTTACAACCAAGCAGAGCAATTATCATTTGTCGCCGTTTTAGACGACTCATAAGCCTGTATTTCTGATATAGACCTACAGACACCGCTCAATACTTTCATTTCACTTCCATTTTAAATGCGTAATAGAATGAATTTGGTGA